AGTTGTGTCGCAAAATCAAAAAGTATATTACATTGATCAAATAATAATAGTGAAGAAAATGTCATCAGAAATGTTGTTGCACATACTGAATGGAAGAAATAAATTTCTATTAAAATAATTCTCAAAACGCATCATATTGACAGTTATTTATAGTAAGTGGACTAATATATTTCTCCATTTTTTTTATATCAACGAACATATCTGTACTTGAAAAAACAAAACAACACGTTATCAGCAATTTATCACATGTTAATCTTTTCTTTATAATCAAAAATTTAAATAAATATAGTACTGTTCGATATCAAAGACTAAGATAGACAAGTCATCTATTTAATTGATGTTTGTTAGATGGTCAAAACAAAAATTCTGTGTTTTATATTTTAATCAATACTCTCCAGTCATGGCAACAATATTCAAGAAAAATTTCGAACAATAATTAAAACATAACAATTTGTATAGAGAGAACAAAATCTGATTGTTATCTTTCATATTTCTCAATAGTCACCATTAACAAATATCTGAATTGGAATTTTGCATAAATGTATCAATTAAGATAGCATAAGCTGAATAAGCTATTATAGGTAAAGGAAGAGCAGGTAGAGACTTATTTTTATTCCAAAAGGTTGGAGTCCATTTCATTGCCATATATCCAATTTGTACACTAATTATAGCACCAATTGCCACATAAATTTGATCAATCATCAACGACAATGGTGACAATACAAATAACACTATTAGATTGTAAAATGTAAAATCGCCAAGACCAATTGTCACAATAAATGATTCATCATCAATTTTGTCATCTCTTGGATCATCAACATAATAACAACAAGAATCAAGAAGAAAACCATTGATTAACGGAGATTCCGGTAGCACTACTAACATTGAATTATACAGACGACCATGTACATATAAACAAGCAATACTATAATAAAATACACAATTTATGATTAAATATATGAAAATAGATCTCAAGACGAGATATTATCATATCAGTAATGTTCATAATCTAAATCGTTTTTTCTCTATTTACAGTCTCTATCTCATCTTTAGACAATTGATGGCGACTTATGATTTACTGTTGTGTATATTAGTTTTTCTAATATGATTCAAAAATGTTCTCCTAGTTTTTTCTTTTACATTTCATTTATAAGTACATTATGTTTCGTTCATGAAAACTTTCATCTTTACAATAATTTATTTGTTTTAACACTTTTTTGTCTCCATTTAAATTTCAATTAATTTTTAGAAATCTTAAGACATCTATAACTCATATTTTGATGATATGTTCATAAATGACAAGAGTATGTCGAACAATAATTGAACAAATATTTAGTAGTAACTATTAAATATCTCATGACTTCATTGATAATGAGAACCACTGATTAACATTTCATTTAAATGACAGACAATTCAAAGAAAAAGACAAAAACTCCAATATACTGATTATATATGAATAAACCACATGAAGTTAATAAAGTTAATGTATTGGGTTGGCAACAAAGTTTTTGCGTTTTTTTTAATCCTCTAAAATATTCGCGAAGCTTCTAGAAGTTTCCATACTTAGGGTATATAGGGTGTCCAGAAAGTAACTCCACAAAGAAAAGTTTGAATACATATCTCTACCATATTTTGACCAAATGAGCTGATATTTTTACTACTGATAGAAGAGTATGCATAGTTCATATTTAGAAGAGAACAGTTGTCAAAAACTGCTTTAAAGTAGTACAACTAATTTCAAGAAAAAACTATAATATTTTTCAAGTTATGAAAAAACAATGTATTTCTTCTATTAGACAAGAATTGATGACATCTTATTTTTTTGGTTACTTCTTCATACTAGCATCATTTGGTCTCATATTTATACCACAGATACATGTCTTGTCACTCAGTGTAGTCTAAAAGTTTCAGCCATTGACAAAACTGCAGTATTTGTTGTTCATAAATAGAAAATATTATAATTTTTTGTTGAAGTTAGTTGTACTACTTTAAAGCAGTTTTTGACAATTGTTCTCTTCTAAATATGAACTATGCATACTCTTCTATCATTAGTAAAAATATCAGCTCATTTGGTCAAAATATGGTAGAGATATGTATTCAAACTTTTCTTTGTGGAGTTACTTTCTGGACACCCTATATATATATATAGGGGCACGAATGTGTTGTGAACAACAAAACTATGAGTAAAGAAGCTGATTTCGAATTAGAAATAGAGATTTCTCGTAGAGATCTCCGAGTGGTTTTACTTCATGAATTCCGATTGGGCCGTACAGCAACGGAAGCAGCAAGCAACATATGCAGATTGATGAGCAATGATGTACTCTACATTCGTACCGCACAACATTGGTTCAATCGATTTAAGAACGAGAACTTCGAACTTAACGATTTATCTCGTTCCGAAAGGTCAGTGGAGGTGGATATTGACTTATTAAAGCAGCTTATTGAAGAAGATCCGAGATTAACTACACGCTCTCTAGTAGAGCGGCTTAGATGCTCTCATTCTGCGATAGGAAAACATCTGAGAGAATTAGACAAGACGTGGAAATATAGAGTTCGGATGCCCCATGAATTATCACCACTTCAGTTCCAACACAGGGTCGATGCATGTATGGAACTACTGACTTCTCATCGCAATTACGAATGGCTTCACGATCTTATTATCGGCGATGAAAAGTGGGTAATGCATGTTAACCACACGCGCAAGCGACAATCGCTGGGAGTTGGAGAAAGAGGTATACCAACGCCAAAAGATGAACTTTATCCAAGGATGATTATGTTGAGCGATTGGTGGAGCGTAAGAGGCGTAATTCATTGGGAGTTTCTTCCAACTGTTAGGGCTGTTACTACTGATCTCTATTGTCAGCAATTGGGCCGAGTTGCAACAAGACTCCAGGGAAAGCAGGATAAGGTTTATTTTTTACATGACAACGCCGGACCTCACATTGTAAAGTCAACGCGTAAAAAAAGTATTGGAGTTTGGATGGACTGTGTTTCCACATTCACTGTATTATCCAGACTTGGCTCCAACTGACTACCATTTGTTCCATTCTCTTGCCGATCATTTGCGCGAAAAAAAATTCGACGACGAACACGACCTCAAAATGGACCTCAATAACTTCTTCACCTAAAAGTCCCAGGGGTTCTACGTATGTGGGATCCTCTCTCTTCTAGAGCCCTGGCGACAAATCATAGATAGTAATGGAGCATACATTATTGAAATTTAGTTGCATATTTGTAGTTAAAAAATAAAATGATATGTTTTTTTTTTTAAAAAACGCAAAAACTTTGTTGTCAACCCGATATCTGTTCAACTTAATGTCTCTCACAGAGATGAATAAAATTGATTGTTTTTCAAATTGGAATAATCGATTCCGGTTTCGATTTTGGTCACTCGCCGCTAATTTTCTTTATCCTAAAGATTTTCTTAACTATATGTTAAATATCTGCCTAAATTCTTTCTAAATTCCACCAGGAATTTGTAAAGTTCGATTTTCAATGTATATTACCAGTCTTCAATAGCAATAAACCATAGAAGAATAAATTTGTACTGAACTGGAAGATAACGAAGTACAATATCATAAGAAGCATATGAAATAAATGCTGTAAATATACATAATGATGCTTGATGAAGAGTGAATGAAAAGTATCGAAGTTCTTGAGAATGCCATTTGCAAATTAAATATATGAACTGCCAGAAAATAAAGAAAACAGTAAACACATCGATTTGACAAGACAAACTAAGAACATTGAAGAATCGAGTAGAAAACCAAACAATAATCAATGTAAATACAATCAATTTTGCATTTTTTTTCACTAGTTCTATTTGATATTTTGTTGGTAGATCACATAATAACATAATAAGAGAAAGTATAAATATTTTAATATATATTATATTATTCCAATAATATTTGCATGTATCATTGACTAAAAATAAATATGAAAATATGATTGAATAGATTTTTCTAAAAGAAGACATACTTTGCCAATTCTCTAATAGACAACGAATGAACAAAAGATAATCACGTATTGTATCAATAAATATATCCTGAAATAAACTATTGTTTATATTTGTTCCTTCCAAACAATAGTAGAAGATAAATGTTATTATCATACTCAATGTAGTAACTATCATCACATGTAAATCAGGATTCATCGTTTACTTATTTAGAGCAGACAAATTCTCTTTGTTTCAACTATATTATATATAAAGAAATAATCGAAATGATCTTTTTCTGCTTAAAATTAATGTAAACTATCTCATTCATACAGTGGACAAATCACATTTTTTTCCTTAACATGTGTCTATCCGAAAAAGAAAAGGTCAAGCGATCATATTACACAAGCGGAAGAAAAAAAATAGAATGAATAAGAGAAAAAGATATATCGACTAGGCATAAATATAAAAAAAAGAAGATGTATCGAATAAAACATTTTATATTACGATCCAGTTATTATTGTTGACTGATTGTGCATAATATAATTTATGGTAACTGCAGTGGTGGATTTAGAAGACGCTAGGGCGATCGTTCCATTCGTAAAGTTTTTTTTTCAATTTTTTCCAGCAGAAAAGACCCAAAAATGAGCCCTTGGTGCCTTGGACGGAGTTAAAACACATCTGGACAAAATTGCCCCCATTCATAAAATTCCTGGATCCGCCATTGGACAACAGGATGCAAAAACAAATATTGTTAACATCTATTATGGTTGTATTGCTGACGCTGAGCGTATAAGAAAGCATCTTTGATGTGAGAATTGTCACATGTTAAACTGAATTAGATTCAATCATAATTCATTCAGAAAAGCAACAAAATATATGACGTTTCCACGCCTATAAATCGAACATTTTAACATATTAAGCCGAGTTGATAAAAGTCAATTCTTTCTTAACTGTTTTTTTTATTCGGAAAAACTTCTTTTTTACTCGTACAAATGTCAACTTTCTTGTTATTCACCTGTCTGGTGAAAGATCAATTTGAAGATTTGAATATGAATATAAGAGAGATGTAGAAGGGAAAAACACTAGATTAATAATTAGCTTTGCACAAACAGATCAACGGAACAAAGTATATTTAACAGGGGCGTAGGGGGGGGGGGGGGGGGGGGCTGAGGCATTTTGTCCCCTATGGTTTTGAAAGTTTTGTTTTTTTTTTGTCAAGAAAAGTCGAAAAAACAGTGTTTTCTGGGACTTTTTAGTGCTAAGTTTATATGAATGAAGACGTTGCACCTCCATGCTTCGAGATTTTTTGATTTATGTGGAGGTTACGCACCTGATATTTAAATAGAGAAAGGCGATGTACGTGTTGAATCGTCAAAGAGGTGTCGTTCGTTTTTTTTCTCAAGTCATTTTTAGAAAATTCAGAATTTTCGATTTACAAGATTCGATTTGGAACTTTTCGATGTTGCAATTTGCAACACTGAATCACACTAACATTGATCATTAAAGAATATGCAAATATGCTTTACCAGTCTACAAATGATTGTACTTAAAAAAAACTTTATATATAAAGATTCTTTGGATTAAACATAGCATTCAATGACATTTTACTGAGATGTTTTGATTGATTAAGAATACATTTCAGATTATCAATAATCTACTGGAACGATAAATTATTTATGTTGTTCAAATAAGATAATTCAATAAATATGCTTATTGAAAATTTTATCTGTTAGATTCAAAATAAAGTAAATTGTGACTTAAAAGTTTATTATATTTAAGTGTTTGTAGAAATCTAAAGATTACTCAATTGAATAAATTCGACTAGAAAAAATACGAATTTGGTGAAAGTTTAATTCCCTCAACTCACTTCAAAACTCTGGTTTTAATGTGAATAACGGAAAAAACTATAAAAGAAAAGTTAGTCGTGTTACCCAAAGCTTTGTTTAACATCGATGGACATGAAAAACCAGTGATATTAAAACTCTAAATACACCATTTTGTTCTATTTTGAATGCTCTTTCCAATGACGTGTAATAAATTGCGATAAGAGGGAATTTGTAAGATTCAATTGAACTTTTTCCATTATTCTCGTTAAAATCAAATTTTTGAAGTGAAAACAATTTCTGGGAAGAAAACATTTTTTAGAAACAGATAAAATCGATTGATCTATTTGGTTTTCATCTTAGCACAAATCTCTTGGTTAGGAAATACGAAATTTCAATCAGGTTTATATCCTTTGATAATGTGAAAGAAAAACAAATTCATTTAAATTTTTGTTGCTAACTGCAAGTTTAAATTGTTTGTTTAAAGTTGCGCACGACTTCAAAAAGATTCATATTGATACTCTGAAACTTAATAAAAATTCAAGAGGCTAGCATATTAAAATGAAGGTACCAACACAAAATATTGCGTCACTTGCACTCTTTTTATCTAAGAAGGAAATAATATTATATAAATATATTGATGATGTCATCATAGCAGTTGACCTCCTTTCTCTACCTTCCTAGTAATGACGTAATATGTGAATAGTTCAAAACAATGAAGTGATCTATTTCAATACTTTACAATATGAAAATGAGGCAATTAAAAATAAAACTATGTTTATAATTAGAGAAGAAGAATTCTTGTCTAAAAGAATCTTTTGAAAAAGTAAAAATGCTAGTAACAAAGTCTATTTTTTCCTATTATATCAAAGATGTAATTCAAATGCAAGTAGTAGTTTGAATAATCAATAAACTTTCCTATTAAATATATTTCATATTAAGATTTTGAAAAATAGATTATGAAAGGTAGGTTTTAGCATTATTCAGATTTCTGTAACTACTAAGACATGATCAGAAATATGAATAAATGTAGTTATTAGTCTAAAAGTTCATCCATAAAAAAGAGAAACTATAAGAATTTTCGTTAATTTCTCAGAGAATTCTTCGTCATGAATTGTTAATTACAAGATTTTCCTAGAAATAATCTTCTTTATGTGTTGAAAATGAGAAGTTACCACATTTCGTACGGCCTTCTCTTAAAAGGTTATAAGCATCACACAAAGAACAAAGAACAAAAATGTATTTTACGTAATGTCATGATAAATCTCACGTTTAAAATGGCATGCATAAAAGCTAACTATCACACAATCTTCTCGGATCCGAAATTTATCGTATATGATTTTTCAGAAATCTCCTTCTCATAGTACATCTTTTGAAATTTTAGTATAGAATGCATTGGATAGAGAACTTCATTGACTATTTAATATCATAGAATTGACTTTATATTTTTAATGCTTTAGATATTTGTTGATTTTCACCGAGTACAAAATATGAACATTGAACATAAATTGAACTGATTTTTACGAAGATCTTTTTATTTATTTTTTTATTAATTCAATCATGACAATTGCCAGTTTATTTCATGTTTACAACAAACAACAATAACTTTTTAATAAATATTTCGAATTTTTCTTTTTTCTTTCTTTCTATATGCATATACACCGGTGAAATTATTTACGATATTTTCTAAATAGTTCATGTTTTGGTTTATTTGATCGAGCTGTACCATTTGTTATTGGTTTCTTTTTAACTTCCATATATGTTGTTGCATCAGCACCTGATAATGAATTCATTGTACCAACACGTCGATCAACAGATGTCTAAATATATGAAGAATATAACATTGTTTTAGTTAGGTTTTGTAATGTTTAAAGAAAAGAAAATTACTGTTGATGAAGCAACTTGTCCAAGAGACTCTTCTTCTTTATCTTCACCACGATCTGTTGCTAGAAGAACACGTTCAAGTAATTGACGTTGTTCTTCTTTTGTTGAATAAAATAGATTATCTTCTTCACTAACTAATCGTGTAATAACTTTATATGAATAACCTTGATTAATAAGAAAACTTTGTCGTTTAGCTGAATAATACATTTCAACTGTATCTTGAGATACAAGTGAATAAAAAAATGCATTATATTCTTCAACAATAGTTCCTAAAAAAAAACATTATTTTTTAATTTTTTATTGAAAATTAATTTAACCTTTTTTAGCTCGTAAAATTCGACCAAGTCGTTGAGCTTCTTGTCTTCTTGAACCACCATGACTTGAAACTTGTATTAATACATTAGCATCAGGTAAATCAAATGATGTATCAGCTACCTGATTTTTATTAAATAAAAATATTACATCTTTAAAAACAAAATCTATTCAATTTTGTACTTTAGAAACAAATATTGTATTTATTCTTGGATTATGTTGAAAATTTTGTAAAATTTGTATACGTTCACTTTGAGATGTTTTACCACAAATATACGGTCTAAATATATATATATATATATATATTCGTTATTAGAAGAAAGAAAAAAACTTTGGGAATGATCTTACTTGTCTAATTTTTTTGCATATCTTTCTAATGCAAACATACTATCAGAAAAGACAATAATTTTATCATTACGTCTTTCATGATAACGTATTAAAAATTGACATGAACGAAATTTATTTGGATTCATAACACATAAAAGTAAACGTCGATGTTTATCATTTGTTACTGATACATATTCTTGAAAGAAATCTGGTGTCATTTGACACCAAACCTTTTATAAAACAAAAAAAACTATATATTTTAAAAATTAAATATAATAAATATTTACTTCAGCACATTGAACTTTAGCAATATGACCTAAATTTTGTAATTCCATCCAATTAGCTTCATATAATTTTGGACCAATTAAAAAATTTAAATCTGTTATTTTATCATCTTCACGAACTAATGTTGCTGTAAGACCTAATTTTGTATGTGCACGTACAATAGTTAAAACTTTACGAAATCTTTCAGCTGGTATTGTATGAACTTCATCAAGAATCATTAAACCCCATTCACGATCTTTAAGTAATTTCATTACTTCAGTTGTTTCAGCATTACATCGTTCAGTACGTGCAATCATTGGATAAGTACTGATACATACACATGAATCTGAGAGAAAAAAAACAAACAAACAACATAAACTCGTCAATTTTTATTTTATTTTATTTTTTTTATTACCATTTGGTTTTTCTTTATCATCTGACGTAAATAATCGTACTTTAGAATCATCAGCTGTTGACCACATTTTAAATTGTTGTTTCCATTGATGAACAGAAACATTTGAATTACATAATACTAAACAACTTTTATTTATTGTACAAGCTGCTGTAACACCAACTAAAGATTTTCCAGCACCTGAAAAGAAATTCTATGTTTTATATATTTTTTTTGTGTTTAAATTCGATTTAATTATTACCGCATGGAAGAACAATTAAACCAGATCGTGCACGTCCTAAAAACAAAAAACAAATTCAAAAAAAAAAAAGAATTTTTTTTATTTCAATTTATTACCATTGCCAAACATTTTTCTTAAACTTTTTTCTTGATAAGGACGTAAGATAGCATTAGGTCGAAGTTCAATATTTAAATTTTTTAAATTTGTATCATGACGAAAATCATATTCTTCAAGTAATGGATGTTCTAATTCTTGACATCTGATTTATTTACAAATAGAAAAATTTCATATAAAAAAAAATTTAAATTATTTACCGTTTTCGTAAAAGTTCAATTTTATTTTGAATAATTTCAAATGAAACAATTTTTAAATCTTCAAGATCTTCTTCATCTCGATCGATTTTTTCATATAAACGTCGAATATCATCAGGTACTTGTTCATTCGTTGCTGTTGAAGTATCTGTTGTTGTATTTGTACTTGCTGCAGTTGTTCCAGGAATAATAAGTCGAGGTTTCTAAACAGTAATAAAACAATAATATTTTATTTTTTTTTAAATATTTTCAAACTTCTGTTATTGTATTTGTATCCAAATTATTCTCTGTTGCTACTAATCGACATTCTTGAATTTGTGAATCTTGAAGAAGATTTTTTAAAACATCCTAATAGATTATGATATTAAAGGAAATATAAAACAAAGAAAAAAATTAATTAACATACAGGATAAGCACTTTCAACAAAATATCGATTATGTTTTAATACTAATTTTACTTTTGCATAACTTAATGTACATAACTAAAATTGTGCACAAAAAAAACAAATCTTTTTTTTTTATTATGAAAAATTTTTAATTAAATTATTTTACTTGAATAAATTCAATGATACTATTTGGTATTGTTGTTTTACTAAGTCGTTGTAAATATTCAATAATATCTTTTGTTTGTAAACCAACAGATACTGCAGCATAAAGTGAATAAGCTGATAATTTATATTCATGAATATATTCTGGTCGACAAACAGGCTACAATGAAAAAAGATCATGAAAATATCTTCATTTTGCTCTATCAAATAAAATCTTCGAATGACTGTCAAAAATCTAGTTTTAGTTTTCCGAAGATTCTCATCCAAACAGTTTTTCTGAAGTCTTCGAGACTAACAAAGAATTCTTTCAACTATACCCTTCCAAAGATAAAATTTGGATCCGATATCGCCGACTTAGTGTATACTAATAGAAGTATTCACTGAAGCACTGGAACATATGGCTACATCAAGGGTTTATTTTGATAGCATTAGTATCTCAATATTGCAATGAACACGGATGTTAGTGCTTCGATGGCCCGTGGGTCAATAACTTATTATTAGTATTTATACCAACACTACATATCCCCAGGAATATCCAACATGAAAAGCAACAAGGCAAAGAAAATCTATTGGAAATAAATCAGACAGACAGTTTCTCTGACGATCGATTATTCTTGAAAAATCGTTATAATCTATTAGAGATTTTTCATTTTACGTAATTTGACGTTGGTGAAGTTAGCCTCATATTCCAGTAAAACCAGCCGAGATTCGTCCAGGAAGCTGTTCCAGAGTACAACTCGACGAGCTCTATCGAATAGTATTCTCAGATTCTCTCTAACTCAAATTATAATTTTTAGATTTCCTATAGCGTCAGTAAAAATTATAATTTGAGTTAGAGACAATCTGAGCATACCATTCGATAGAGCTTGTCGAGTCGTACTCTGGAACAGTTTCTTGGACGAATATCGGCTGGATTTACTCGAATATGAGGCTAACTTCACCTACGTCGTAACTTGTATGAATATAATAAAGCTAAAGAACACATGTGAGATCCACATTTCAGCCTCAAAAGGACTTCACTGACTATCCGCTACTTCTGCAATCTTAAACTTCTAAAAACCAGTCATGTGTAATATCAGCAGTATCATTTCTATATTCTTCTACATAAATCAGATAACTATTCTGATCTAATAGGGGTAAAAATTGAGATCTCCTCCTACAGATATAACGTCTCGTTATAATATATAAACTTCTTTCTTATTGTATTTCTGAAAAATTCAGCAAAAAAAAAAGACGACTAAGAAATGAATAATACCTCAGCAATAGCAATTAAAAAATCATGAGCATGTTTATAAACCGCTGAAAATGATTCAAGAAAAATATGACCATCTAAAATGAAAGAAATTTTGAAAATGTTTTTTATTTTTTTATTGAATGAATATCTACCTGGTGTAACCCATAATGGACGATTTTCATGATCAATTTTTAATTCCATTTCAGAACGAAAATCTTTTAAACCTTGAGTTGTTATTCCTATTGCCGATGATCGATATAAATCATCATCTTCAACATCAATTGAATCTTCTAAACGTCGAGATGCTGCTTTTGGAATAAATGTTTCTATGAAATAAAAACAAAAAAAAGAATCTGTAAATAAAATATGTTATAATAAATTGAATTACCTTCATTAGTTTCATCATCATCAAAATTTTCATCTTTTCCATTATTATCAATACTTTTTAATAATTTAGTTATTCTTCCTGATGAATCTTTTGGTGCAGGTCGTTTACTCATATTTCTTTTTTTTCTATTCGGGTATATGTTTATGAAGATAAATATTAATTAATGCGTAACTTATTGTAATAAATAAAATAATAACACCAATAATTAAATCGTATGTTCTAAATGTAGATGAAGATTTTATTGATTGTTTATCATTTTTCATTACTTTATTAAATCTGAAATAAGACAAAAAAAAACAAAGTCAGATATTTACAATACATCATTTATTTTCTTTTTTTGTAAGAACAAAAACTACACAACAAAAATAATTTATTTCTTCGTAGGTTCAATAGGTTCTTGTTTAATTTCAACACCTTCATCTTCATAATTACCAATTTGTTCAATATTATTTGCTGAATCTTCATGTAATAAAATATATTCTCTTGTACTAAAACCAAATTTAATAACATCATTTTCACGTAATTCATAATAACGTTGTGGTTCTATTTTTTGATTATTAAGAAATGTTCCATTTGCTGAACCTAAATCAATAATATATGGTATAACACGACGTCCCATTGTACCATCATCATGTTTATTATCCATTAAACGATATTGTAAAACAGCATGTTGTTTTGAACATGATGGATGATCAACTGGTAAATCACAAATACCACGTTCACGACCAATTAAATATGCTGATTGACAATGAATTTGATACATTGGTAATTCCTATTAAACAAAACAAAATAACTATTTTTTATTTATTTTATTATCTTCATAGGAAATTTCACTGCCTATGATAGAAAATTTAATTTTCTAAAAAGAGATGTACTTAAATTTTCTATCTACCTGATCACCTTTGAAAACATAAAAACGCCATCGTCGTTTTGGTTTTCGTGCTTCAATAGGTTCACTATATTTAATAACAACACCTTTATATGTATTTGTATCTTTAAGTAATGCACCGGATAGACCAAAATTAGGTTTTTCTTTTTCAATTAGAGTTTCTTTTGATTTTTCTTTTTCAGTTTGTTTTCCCCATTGATATGTTTTATCTTCTTTTATATGTGGATTACGACGATTTGTTGTAGAAGATTCATATGATTTTTGTTGACGATGTCGACGAGATTCATCATCAGTTATAGGTTCTTGTTTAACACGAACATCTAAAAATATATGTGTCATATTTATATGAATTGTAGAACTTTTTTTAAAATTTTTACTTGAACATGATCTATGATCTTCACGAGATTGTTCTTGATGTCGTCTTTGATAACGTTTATTATCATCATGAGAAGCGGATGATGATGATGATGAATCTCTTCGTCTTTTCTTTTTTTTGATTGGAACTAGAATCACGATATGAATTTAATTTAGGTGAACGAACCATGTTATATAAAAGATTTATCTTTTAATTATCACCAAATGATAGTATTGTAAAAGTTATTATTATTGTGAAACTTCTATTTCTTCTTTTTTCTTATTTGTTTGTATCTACAACCTATTGATAGATTTGATTTTTATAGATGTCACTATCATATAAGAAACATTCATTGAACAAAAAGAAGGAAAACAATCGTTCACTATTGATACAATTGAAAGTTTTATAATCTTTTATCAAGTACATTACATATCTATGGATTAAGAATGTGTATCGTATCATTCATTATTAAGTAACTACTACAAATTTTCAATGTAATCATTATTATTGAACTTCTTTTTTTTTGCTATTGAGAAAAAAAATGAAGAGATTAATGTTCATGTTTACATTTTCTTGATAAAGGCAAGCATGAAAACTGAATACATAAGATGCTTTAATTGTTTGTGTTAAATTACATTGTCTAGGAAAAAGTAGTCAGTTGTTTTTGTTTGACATTCCTGTCTTTCACGCGTTATAACAAATTGCATTGACATATACAAGACTGTCACACTTTAAAGCAATTCATAAAACATGTTCAGGTAAAAATCGCATTGTTTCACCTTTCTCCTCGACATCTCACTATGGGCATTCAGGCAACATTAGATAGCGGGCCACCCGGCCCGACGATTTTATCCTTTTTTGACATTTGGTTCACCCCTGAGGGAGAAGCTTCTCCACGCTACCCCCTTGGCCATTACTTTCTATAAAAGCCGAAAAATATGGAATGGCTTTCTATTGAGAAAAAGAAATCTCTGTAAACGAAGTTTCTTTCGGGCTCGGACCATAGAAGAGTGGTCCCATTTCGAGATCTGTTGGATAGAAAAATTGAAAGTGTACTTTCTGATGATTTAAATAAGGTTATATATTCTCTGACCTATGGATTATTTAATGACATGAATTAAAAGCATATGGAGAAAACATCCCCTGAGAAAATTATATACAATTTGAAAATTCGTACAAAGAAACAAGAAACTTTCGCTTTCATCTGTTTGGAATTCGAGAAAATAGGTGACGGATAAGATAGACTGATGAATAGATTTAAAATACTACGACTAACACAGGATTTGATGAAAAGGCAAACCACGGACTATCTAACCAGCTTCTAATATAAGGAAAACTACGATCGGAACTACTATGGTAGACAGATGTTCTTTTCAAGTATCATTAATAAATTTAACTTCATTTCGATCAAATTCTAAAGTATCAAAGTTTGGAGATATGATATAACTAGAGATGTCATCAATGCACTACGAAATCTCATAATTATAGTGTGTATTAAGTCGGTCACGAAATTGATTAAGCCACACCTATGCATCAGAATGCTATCTGTTTTTTCCTGTAGTGACGATATTTCTTTTAAAGCTCATTCATATTTCGATGACTTAAGATTTCCTTTTCATCGAGTAGAAAACTCAACTGTTTCAAACGTCTCATATGTCACATGTACTCGTGATAAACATTCTATATAAAACATTTCAAGTGAGGAATATTTAATGGACTCTGCTATGTTTATCATCTGCGAGCGGCTCTTCTAGTTGTATTTTCATCGGTATCGTACATATTATGTCTAAGTCAACACTAACCTAGTGAATATTAAAGATTTTTTCAGAGAAACTCACTATTAATAGCAAAGTAGTAAGCGTCCTATGCTTTCTCTCATTCTGAGTGATTTCCGCAGAAAAGAACTTATCTAATTTGAACATATGCAGTCTTACACAAAAGAAGCATGTACCATTACATATAGTGAATTTAACATTAATTTTAAGTATACGTTAGAAATAAAATGGCTTACTCAGTTAGGCAAGTACTCTGTGAACGAAACAGAACACAAATGAATTCCAAATGAAAAGAACAGGTGAATAATCGGATGAGAGAATGATAAAAGAATGACCTCTTTTTTCCTTTTTCTGTAAACTGGACGGACGGAAAGAAAGGACAGAATGGAAAAAATTTCTTGAAAATGTGTACTGATGATAACTCTGTTTCTATGTGATGATGATAACTAGATGAAATATAAGATGATCAAGTTTTGAAACTTTTATTGAAACAGCTAAACTCTAAGTCATTTTTTAATTATAACCTACATGAGAACAGGATAACTTGTTTATTTTGGTTGAATATGATTGTTGCTCATACGTACTTGCACTTTTAAAAGAGAAATAGAGAAGATTATGATTATCATATAATCCAAGAAGGAAGGAATCGTTTATGTTGTTAGTATGATATATTAACATGTAGTAACATTAATGATAATTTCCTCCTTCCATTTAGTTTTTGAACGTTAACAATATTTGTCTGCACTTATTGTAATTCACAAAATACAACTGAGCTAGAATTAACCTTCTTAAATGTGCAGTAAAGTAAACCAATATTAGTTAAGATGATATTATAATTATTCATTGAATAAATCAACATAACGTTAATTGTCCACACGCTGATTGTTAAAGATATTCAGTATGAGATGTACTGCACGCCTATTTCTGTTAAGCAAATCAGTTTATGGCAGTTACTCTGCAGCAAATCAAAGATAAACTTTGTTACATTCTCATCAGATATTGACACCGTACAATATTTGTCTTAACGATTTTCAATTAAGAGTGGAATATTGCTGAGTAGATATACTGACAACACATCAATAAAGAATATGCAAATTCACTAGGCGGAATATTTTCAGCAAGATCGTTATATTGCTATCGATTTTGACTTCGACTTAATGGCAATAAAAAAGTTTTCTTGGTTTAAAATTCCTACTCACTAATCATAAATATCGGACCTGATCTTTTACTGTTTATTAGTAAAAGATGCATGTTCTAACCATCAGTTGCCTATTACTAATAAACAACGAGCCGTCAAACTTACTACTTACTAGAAAGTAACCAGCCTGATTACTCACTAAGTTGTGTCACGTGATTTAGATACATTTAACCAGGTATAACTGTCACAGAATAGTTGAATTAAAAATTTGCTACTCATTAGTAACAGATTAGTAGCGCAGACTATCACCTACTAATAACTAGTTAGTGACGATGTACATTACTTACTAACAGCATAATAATAAAATTTTTGTAGTTTTGATTATTTTTTGGTAATCGAAGCAAAACGGAAAAATACTGTTAAAACGTTTTTTTTTCGAAAAAAACACGAAATTGGGGTGTTTTTAACGGTTTCGTCAAATTTAGTTGAAAATAAACTGTAAAAACGATTTAAAAGTGAAAAATTCAGTAGTAAACGCGTTAAAACGCCTTTCTGGCTGTTTATTGTCTACCTGGGTAGTAATGATTTTTGGTTATATCTTATTCGAATAAAATTTGGTTCAGCAATATGGCGTCGTTTTATTAAAAATTCTTCTATTTTAATTGATAATAATAATGAATTTTCTTCATCATGTCGTTCAAAATTAATCTATTGTGAATTACTTAAACGTCATTGTATATCATTTACTGATTTTAATCAAATAATTCTTGATACAAATCGAAATTATATAACTATATCTGATTCATCAAGTTTAAATGGTGAAGTACTTTATATAAATGATTCAATTCAATTTTGTTATTCACTTCATATTGAAACAAAATTTAAAAATATTCTTCCTGGACAATATGATGTAATTTGTCGTATGAAACTTGATTTACCATATATATTAGGTAATACAGAATTTATTGCTATTGCTGAACAAATAAATTCAAGTAAAATAGCATATAAACAATGGACACAAGATGATTTTTTTATCAATGTATAGATGTTTTAATTGTGATTTAACAAAAACAAATTTATGGTTTTATTATAATATTGGTATTGTTGAAATTCATGGTAATGAACGTTGTAATGTTTATATATCAATAACAAATCATGATCCAATACATGCAAAATGTGGTCTTTATTTAGATTATATTGAATTAAAACTTCGATTAGAATAGAAGATAATATAAAACGATATAATTTTCTCTTTTTTTGTTTTAATCATTTTCTATATTACATGAAAACATATGTTTTCATATATATTTTGTAAGCATATACTGGTAATTCAATAAAATAAGTTCATTTATAATATATAAATTTTATTTCATATATGAATATACTATTAAGAATGAATAATTAAATAAAGCGTATCTATTATGATGAAAGTAACTCTATTATATTTCATGTTTCGAAAAGCGTTTTTTTTTTGGATGAAAAGTATAGTTTTTTTCTTTGAGTATTTTGTGTAATTTTTCAGAAATTTTATTGTAAAATTGTTCTCAAAGGATGATATTTTAATTTCGTTGAGATCAAGATTTTGTTTTCATGTTATGATTGATTTGTTCTATTTGAAGGTCATGATGCATGATTTATGACGGTCAATGAGATGAATACAATTCGTTACATATTTCAATGATTTTTGCATATGAAAATACTAGATAATATTCATCTGTAAAATACAAATCAATGATGACAAGTATTTTCAATAAGATTCGTATTCATATGGCTTTTTACCATCGTTTTACTTAATCTTTTGACGACAACTTTATAAGATCCTGAAATTTCACAGTATCTTATAGAATCCTGCAGATAGCTCCATGGAGATCTTTGAAATTCTATATCATAATATAGATCTTATAAAATCTAACATTTGCAGCATTAGAGTTTTGGTAGTAACAATAGCTCAATAGAACAAAAATGACTCTGAGATTTCACAGGATATTATGGAATTCTGTTTAGTTTCATGTCGTTATAAAAGATTTTGGATATAGAAATCCCATAGATTTTCGAGTACTTCTAGATTCAAAATTCCTTATTTTCTCTTGGTATATATGCATAATTGTATCACACGATGATACTGTGTGATACAAGCAAATTAAAGGAAAGAGAGAATGTTGTTATGGCCTAATAAAAATAGATGTTTAATCATTGATTGAAAATTGATAAATTCTTTGATAATCCGATGGCCAATTTTTTTTGGATCTCATTTTGTTGTTCTTTAAACTTTTTAAAGGTCGATATCTATGAGATTCTTTTTTGTTGAAGATTTATTTCGATAAAAAGAAAAAGATTTTACTTTTGAAACCGAATACAAGCAGGAATATCCATTGATGTATCAATTTCATCAGGAAATTATTCATCTAATTTGACTTCTTTCATTTTCTTCAAACTTATTTCAATAAAGAAAAGGAGAATGGATTTTTGTCAAAATGGTTTCTTCAACAAACCTTTGTTTATTTTCTTCTAAATCAAATTTTTCATTATAATTATTTCGATTAATAACAAGTTCATTCATTTCTTCTTCTTGTTCAATTGATTGAAGATCATCAGCACTTGTTATTACCATTTCTTCTTCATTTCTTTCCGAATTATTCAAAAAAGAAACAAACTGATTTTCAAAATGATGATTGAGAAAAACAAAATGAAAAGAAAGACTTGTTCTTGATGATCATTGTCTTCTTCTTCTTCCTCATCTTCGAGAATCCAAGCAGCTTGCTATTCTGATGTTTCTTTCGGAACATGTTCTTTTTGTGCTTTTTCAAGTTCTTCTTGATCATTATTCATTGGATCTGGTACAACTTCAAATGTTAATGATCATTGGAGTTATGCTTGAGGGACAAATACTGATTCAACCATTGTTTTCATCATTCCATCAGATAAAAATATTTCAAGTTCTTTTTAATAGTTTTGTTTTGAATGAGAACCGACACTTTTTTCAAAACGATGTTGTTCGATATTTTTCTAATTGACATGTTCCTAAACCCGAAATCCAAAAACAAGATCATTGTCAGATAAATCAGTGGCACGTAAATATCCACTTAATTTGAATGTACTTGTTGAATTCGAAAAGAAATATTATTCAATTAGCGAGAGACCATGCATACTGCACAGATGCTTTTTTCCTGTAAAGTTTCACATCTGTCCTTTAGCCTTGATTCGGTAATAGACAATCAGACAGTTCGCATTATATATATTGAGAGAGATCTTGTAGCCTTATACTCTTGTGGTATTACTTCTTTTAGCCTTATTCCGTTATTCCCTTATCCCTTATATCCCATGCAGCCTTATCTACTTATCCGCTATACCCTTATCTCCTTATACTCTTTTAGCTTTATCGCTTATGTCCCTGTAGCTTTAGCCTCTTATCCCCTTACCAGCTTATAGCCTCACATTTCTGCAGCCTTATCCTCTACTCCTTATAGCCCTTGAGGACCTATGAGTACCTTCATATAATAGCTCTTGAGGACCTATGGGTATCACCATATAATAGCCCTTGAGGACCCATGGGTGGCCTTATATAATAGCCTTTGTGGATCTATGGGTACCCTCATATAATAGCCTGTGAGGGCCTATGAGTACCTCCATATAACAGCCCATGAGGACCTATGGATACCCCCATATAATATCCCATGAGGACCTATGAGTTTCCAGTAGCATTTGGTGTCTTCCTCTTATAGCCTTATTTGACCTTTGAACTGTGGTCCGGCACAGAGAAACAGACACACTAAACATTATATGTATATAGATAGAAGATGAAATGACAAACAAACAATTTTCCTTGAGAATTTTCATCAAAATAAGATTCAGCAAAAATATAAAATGGGAAATAATTGATATCATCAACATCTTTTTATTGATGAAGAGATGAACGATATTAGGTTTCAATAAAATATTTAAAATTTTAATTCTTTTTAGCCTTTTTTAAATTTTGGCTCTAATCATGTACAAAATATCTGGAAAGAGTTTCGATAAATTCTAGGTAATAAAGGAGTTTTTACCATTTCCAAAAAGCTGTTTAAATTTGAAAATATTGCCTTTACTATCGAAAAAGAAACAAATAAATTACTTCTTTTCTTTTTTTTCTGTTTATCGCATGCTCAAATGTGAAAATTCCAAGGATATTATTTTTCTTTTTCTTTTCTGCTTATCGCATGTTCGAATGTGAAAATTCTAGGGATATTATTCTTGTGTGTCTCTTTCTAATACATATGTATGTGATTTTCGTATAAGATAAACCATTTCTATTTTGAACAAGCTAGTTATCGGCTGGTCATTTATTCTATACGCGATACAAATATATTTGGTTTAATCGATTTAAAAGGCTGCAGTTAGTATACCATTATTTTCTGATGTTATTCAAAACAACCGTGATAAATTACATGATGATAAGGACTTATTATTATTATTTGTCTTTTGGTATTTGGATAGTAAAGGTTTCGTTTTATCAATCGGTGATCAAATAAACAGCATTATTTGTATTTGAATCATATATATTTTATTATTTTTTCAAATAGCAATATTCACCACTTCGTCGTTTTAAAAATGAAAATAATCCCGGTACACTAATATGTTTAAATACAAACACTGGTAAAAAAATAAGTGTATTATTAACAAGCGATAAAGACGACAAAGTCCTAGTATACTTCGAAGTAAATTAAATGTGTTTATAAAAAGTTTTTTTTTTTAGTTTATTAATTCTTAGACATTTCTTGAAACACCTGGTCGTTCTAAACAAATACCACTCGAACTAAAGTTGTATATCGATGATCAGAAAAAGTATGAAATTCTTTTCTAATTTCTTTCAAATTAGTTTATTTTCTTTTTTTCTCTTTGATGTAGGAACGTTAAAGAACGGATGGAAATTGTGAAAAAATTAGATGCTGCTCTTGTCAATATTACTGAAGGAAACAAAAAAAAACAAGCATGTTTTTTTTTTAAATTAAACTATAAAATAAAATTCAAGCTTTCGATGTCATCATCATCAAGACATCATCATTGATACTTATTGTAGTTGCTCAAAAGAAAATAATTGTAGTTTACAAATTGTTTTTTTTTCCAATAACGAAAAATTGATTGAATCAGAAATGGACAATAAGATCTAACAGGGTTTGACATTTTGTTTCCATACTTTTCTACAGTATGTTTTGTCACTATATACATGAAAAAAGAGAGAAAGGAGGAGAGAAAGAATTATTCATTTATTCATAGCTGATTTCGACTAAATAGCATTATATTCATTGACGGCAGCGGTCCAATAGAACAAGAGAGTATATCTATTGACAATATACAAGCTAAGAATTGCATGAGAAAATAAACATGGAATTTTCATTTGTTCAATTGATGGATTTACCTAATGAAATATTAATGATTATTCTGAAAAAATTGGACAATGTTGATGTACTTTATTCGTTAATGGATGTTAATACACGACTCAATCAAATTGTACATGATCCTATTTTTACCACTAAAATAACATTAATGAAACCAATTGATCAAACATTAATACAACCTGATTTATTGCTTGATCGATTCTGTTCGCAAATATTACCAAAAATTCACCATAAAATCAAATGGCTCAAACTTGAATCAGCATCTATGGAACATATTCTTCTGACTGGTGATTATCCTAATTTATGTCAACTTGACATTTTTATCATGCACAAGAAACCTGTTATATATTTTTCTGGTAAAAAATCTAATTTTCATTCTTTTAATCATCCAATCATAAAAAAAGATATTAACCTTTATTACATTGTTAATGGCATTCTTTAGAGTCTCTGTTCAGAATACAACATATAAGTAACTATGAAAGTTAATGACAAATATCTAGAAGAAATGCCAATACATACAAATAACAGAGAGATTGTATAGAGTGAACATAAACATCCATATGAAAAAAAACATTCTAAATATGATCCCAATCGATTTTTATCTAATTTTCTACATGAATGTTTAGAAATACAAAACATGATAATATACAGCTACAGAAAATTATTGAACAAGAGTTTTATTTTTGACGATGCTTTATAACTGTTGCAGTAACAGTGATCTAAGTTGGTTTTAGAATTCGAAACAGAAATTAAGAAAAAGACTCTCACAGCCTATTGGCTTCTGTGAAACGTTTGGGAAAAACATAATTGAATATGTAATTAACAATCAATTTTAGTTTGATTATGGAAAAAGAGTACCTTTTCATTATATCGTTTGTCAAATGATGAAAATCATTCGTTATGAGACGAAAAAATTCATAGAAGCATAACGATAGATTTTGACATAAACGACTCTAAACATGGAGTATAAATAAATCTATTTCTCTAGTCAAAAGTACTATGGACATAGAGTCAAGACTAAATAGAAGTTTTTATTTATGTTTAGACGAATCTTCTCTAGTTCGTATCTTTCAAAATCAAATTGTGACATTATCTGTTACTGGAAAGAAGGGCGATCACGATGATTTTACAATGAATATGCGAGCAAATCTTTTTATGTATATCTTGACTATGTTCACCAATCTTCTGCATTTGAAATTCTACCAAAATTTGAAGAATTCAACTGGATTTGTATTATTTAATGATCAATCTTCAATGTTTTCTTCAACACTGGTGGAATTACATATCAATGTGTATATTTTCAATGATTGTCTTTATCTACTTGACGGTCGATTCAATCAGCTACGTATACTATTTGTTAACGTCTTTTATATTTGGTCTCTCCGATCGACTATCATCAATAAGGTAAGTTACATAAGCAAGAAGAATAACGATAGTCATTATTAAAATATTTATTTTAAAATCGATATTATTTTGAAAGACTAATTTATTATTGTAGAAAGAGCTGTTTAATCTGAAAAATTTTTCGCTGACCTGTAATAATGAAACTTGTGTTTATGGTGAAGTGATCGTACCATTTTTGCAACGAATGTCGAATCTCGAAAAGTTGGCTTTATATCTTCTGATTGAATGTCAAGAAAGATTTATCGATGGTAATGATTTGAAAAAGAATATTATCAGTCATATGCCTAAATTGAACGATTTTGTATTTAATATTCGCTCAATCATTCCACTTGACAATCATCAAATACATTTACCATCAAACGAGGATATTCAGCGTACATTAATAGGTTTCACAAATCATCAAGTTATTTCTTGTGTCGACTATTTTTCAAATAAGAAGAATGGTTATTGTCATATTTACACATATCCATATACAATGATACATTATGAAAATCTTACTAATAATTTTTCAGGTGGATTATTTAAATGTGTTCAAACTGTAAAATTATTTGATGAACGTCCTTTTGAACATACATTTTTTATGCGAATTGCTCAATCATTTCCATTTTTGAAATATTTGACTGTAAGTAATTGGCAGCCACAAAATGACAAACAACGTCAAAAGTCAAATGATGACAATCAAGATTTTTCAATTATCGAATATCCTAACCTTATTACACTACATCTTCTCCACATTCATGATGATTATGCTGAGCAATTTTTACTTGATACGAAAACGTGTTTACCAAACGATATTCACTTGGTAGTTGATTATGATTTACTTCAACGTGTTACACACAATTTCACTAGAGACGCAACACGAATCAATTATTCGAAAGTGAAAGATCTTGAGTTTCATGATCAAGTCGATCTATCAAAATATGTTTGATGTTTACTTTGATCATGCCTAATAATTGTCATTGTTCTTTCGATTATTCAATAAAATGAATAAAAAAAAAAAAGGAGATTAATTGATTTCAAAATACTTTGTTAACGTTGACAAAAACAAGGAAGCAAATATTTATAGTTTATTGAGAGGAAATAGAATCTATTTATTTTATTTGTTTCTCGATATTTACAAAAAATTGTTTTCGTTTTTTTCGGGGAATTACTTTCTGGAATAGGAGTATCATTATTTTCTGATAGATTTAATCCATTATCATTTTCTTTTACCTCTTCAGTTTTTTGTTTAAGTAAATCAAGTGTTGATTTTGATCGTATGTTTTTTTTGTTGTCGAAGTACTTCGAAATGAAAATGATGGAAAGAACGAATCAATTCGAAATATAAATAAAAGATAAAATAATTAAAGAATAGTTAAAGCAAATTTCTTTTGTATTCATTCGTTTAATAACTGATAAAATCATGTAATCAATTTTTGTCTCAATTCAATTTAAGTATACTTCCTCTGAATCTATCATTAATTAAAGATTAATTATAAACAAAAAAAAAACAAACTATTGATTAATTTACTCTCGAATCAATTCAAGTTATTGTATTGCCTATGTCAATTCTGATTGATCATAATCGATTTTTGGGGTATTATAAAAGCTTTATTTGGAAAACCTGAATAGAAATTAATGAGATAAACAAATGCTTGAATCAATCTCTTAGTGAAATATTCTCAATTAAGATTTTACCTTGAAAAAGTTCTCAATCTTTGAGATATTTTAGTACTTTTGATTGTATAAAGTCGATTGAATTCCATGCAGATTTAGTAGTCCTGAAAAATATATTGAAAATCATATGATCAGTGTTTGAGTCATGTCAATTGGTCTTCAGCTGTACGGGATGCAGCACTATCAATGAAGTTCTCAGTTATTTTCTCTATTTAATTACAAAGTCAGTATACATTCGTAATTTGAGCCTTCAATATGCATCACTTAGGTATTGTCTTCAAATCTCTGACAAATAATTTTACGGTTGTGTAGCTAGAATAACCTGTCCAATAACATATGAGACACCACTAAGGAGTAAACGACATACTCTCATACTTCATTGAGTACAGGGAGTACACAAGCACAGTAGACGTATGCGAGTACGTTGTTCCTCCCTTGTAAAGATCATAATTAGACTAATCTGCATAAAAAAATTTCTGAATTTTTGAACTAAGTCTCTCCAAGAAGTAAAGCTTTCAAAAAATTACTATTATTGGTAAAAGGTCTACACCATATCTCGGAGAGACTTCGTCTGAAAATTCTAAAATTTGTTATGAAAGCCAATCTAATTCAAGCCTTTATGTAGATAAAGTTTCAGGTCAAAATTCAAAAATACCGTCTTATTGTAAACGTAGATCCTACAGCAAAAATTTACTAAAAGAGTGGAGTTAGAACTTTTTAGCCATTCAAGTCTACTATCAACGTCTATGTTCGGCAATAAAACCAAAGGGCTTAATTGCCAGACAACTTTATATAAAATAAACTCAAACCAATATGCTCGTGACACATGTTGATAATAGATTTGACATTTCGTTGAAGTATGCTTACGTACAATGAAGTACTGAATTCCTCTTGGGTTATTCTCATTATTATTCACAATGAATAAGATATATCCATATAAAGTCTATCATAAAAATTTAATATTCAACTTATGATCACAACCTGTTCTATTATTTAAAATTAAAAAAAAAACAAAAAAAAAACGTTTCATTATAAGTTTATTATCAAATATTTACTTGCATATAGATACAACAATTCACTATTAACGAAAAAAAAACAGAAAGAAAGAAAATAACACACAAAAATGAGAATACTGAATGGTGGCTTATTCCAATATAATGAGAAAAATTTCATATTGAATATCATACACAAATAGGTCCATATGAAACTGTTATGATGCTATTAATTATATCACAAAGATGAGTATATGTATATCTACAGTGACTTCAAAACTTGATCATTCGGATTTAATTTCGACTATTTTCTATAATCGTAACTGACAAAAAGGCTTCAATTTTCTACAAAAGTTTCTTTTGATTATATAGGATGATAGAGCAACTGACTCGCTAGAAAAGGACATGTCTCCGAGCACTCCACGTCATATTTTGACTGAACTACATCAATTTTAAACAAAACACAAAAGTAGTATTTTCACAATTGCCTATAAGACAAAAAATGACTTTTATGAATTGATGTAGTTCAATGAAACAATATCGTAAATAGCTTGGAGACATCATTTGCTAGAGAATTCATTGTTTTATAATTGTACGTAATCAAAAGAAATTTTTATTTTGGAAGTACAGTGAGAATTTTATATCTTTATTGAAAACAAATTTGAATCAGTTATCATTACGAGAAAAAAAATCGAAATTAAATCTATATAATCAATTTTTGTTTTTTAGAGTCACTATATGAATCAGAGAGACGTCAATTTACATTCTCATCTCTTCTTGTTTCCTATCTTCTGACTAGATGTGATCGAAGATAAAAAAAATTTTTACAATTTCAAATAATAGGTAATGTTTGTGGAATAAGTTTGAATGAAACAGTATGTCGTTTATGATAAATAATATAACTAATCATAGCAATAACTAATGAAAGAAAAAGATATGATGCTATTATAGCAAATGGAATCCATGATGCAATTAAATAATTTGTAGATCCATATGTTTTTGCTTCAGGAATAAGACGTTTCATTAATGGTGTTGAAAATTGATTAATAGATTCTTCAGGATTAATTAAATATGGTGTTGTTATTGTTGTGCTTGTAGTACTTGTAAAAATTTCTTCATCATTATCATCATCATCATAAATATTTGGTTCCATGTAAATTTTAATAGTTGTTCGTTGATCTTTTGAATTCGAATAAAATTGTGAATCTTGTTCATTAAAATCAATTAATGGTGATACAATTGATGGTGTTATTATAGATGGTGTATTAACTTGAATTATTTCATTTTCTTTTTGTTTACGTGTAAAATATTCTGATACAATTGAACATGATGAAAATAAACAACGATCATTATTTATTGATTGACATTTTATTGATTGTACACCATCATCAATCATATTATTAAGAAAAACTAATATACAATCACAATCAATATTTTCTTGTGGTAAATAAACAGTTAAACCTAATATTCGTCTTCGATTAATATAATCAGCTAAAGCACAACTTGTATTAGCTTGTAGGGTGCGTGAGCTTTCGTCTCACCTCTTCCGAACATCCGGATATGTGACCGGATGTTCGGAATTAACTTTTTTTCATGTCCGGAGTTCGTAAAGAGTCGTGTCCAGGAGATCGTAATAGAATACAGGGAGATCGGAATGATTTTACATGATGTTCGGAATACAGTTTTTCTTGTATATCTGATATAACACCGGGAGATCGTGATGAACAATATCAGATGTTCGAAATAATGCATTTTATAAAAAAAACAACCGGATGATCGGAATAACATTGACAGGAACATCGTAAAAAAGATACACTGGGAGATCGTAACGGATATAAAGACTTTTATTTCGGTTTTTCTATACAAGAATAGCGTTCATTTACTTAGCACATTCATAATTATATTGGGAGACATTTTTCTTTCTCTATCGTTGTTCTCTATACTTTAGTAACTATAAAAGTTGTTTCTAACTGTGGTCTCTTAATGTTTTCATAATATTGATAGATGACGGTGGCTTCTGTACAAATGAAACACTACAGTACCCGGCATAAGTGGCCGCGACCTCTTTTTCTTGTCCAACAATGACTTTTATTTCATCTTTTTGCTTTGTTTGGACGGGCTAGTCGGGCTCATCATCCGGTATAAATAGGAACATTTGTATTCATTCTGTTATCAATTTATAACTCAATAGAAAATGAACCTTTTTTTAAAGAAAAGACGAGAAATTACTTTTCCATAAAGGCAGCGCTATTCCCCACATATATTGAATGGTGATATTTCACAGTATCTATACGAATCAGTAAGTAATTGTAAAATGTAGGCTTAGAAGGTATCAAATAGCTGGTGACGTATAAGTTGCACAAAAATCCGGTCTATACCGGAAAAACAATACGCAACAATTCAATCCATGGTAGCTCAACATTCAATCGAATCTGTCGGTCAAATTGCGTTTAGATTATTACAGAAAGATATAAAAATTAGTAAAACCACATTAAGAAGAAGATTTAAAGAGACCGGTGTACATTCAATGAGACCGACCTCGAAACCATTGCTAACAAGTGACGATATTTTAAAAAAGACCCCAGCAGGATATAAAACTGAAAGACTGTAACCCAAGTGAAAATATCTGGGCATTAGTGAAGCTCAGAATAAAAAAAGAACCGTATATATCGATCAGTGATTTCATTGAAAGAATAAAAAAAAGAATGGAGAAACTTAGCTATTGAATTTGTTGAAAAATTAGGCGATTCTATGGAAAATAGAGTAGCATTGTTAATTGAAAGAAAAAGCCATTATATTAATTATGAGGATGATGCACATATAATGTAGGTTTCATAAATAAAATATAACCAAATAACTCCTTTGTCTTCCTCGTTTTTTCGATCGCGGCCACTTATGCCGGGTACTGTATATAGTGTATGTACCAAAGTCTTTTCGTTCAGATATGATTCGTTGTACAAGCAATTTAGTATTGAAGATAAACCAGACTAAGTTCTCATAAAGAAGTGAAGATTATAGACTTCAAAAATATTCTATCATAAAGAAGAAAGTGTACTTTGCTGTTATTTCTTATTTCTAGATAAGAATTCAAATGCTTGAGTTCACCAAGACGTTCTTTATTCAGCATCTTAGACTGTAAGACAAGCGTGTCACTTCACATTCTCTCAAACGTAAATCTCAACATGCTTACGAACATCCAGCCATTTTCATCCCGAACACCCTGTAGTTTTTATTACGACGTTCATGTATTTGTCATTACGAACTCCTGCACATTTTCATTCCGATCTCCCGGTAAAATTTCGCTGTTTTTTCACCAAAAAACGTCATTACGAACTCCTGACCACATGTCATTACGAACAACCTGTTTTTTGTTATATTTTATCGACTTTTTCATTACGAACTTCATTCCGAACACCCTGTCTTTTTTCTTATGTCCGAAGATCGTAACGGACTGCTTCACCTGGAGTTCGTAATAAAAAATTGAGACGAAAGCTCCCTTTCCCAGCTTGTAATGTTGAAAATTGTACATAACGTATATCTAATTGTTGTAAAGATGTAAGAGAATTTATACTTTCACTATCTAACATTTTTAAATATGAACCAAGAATTAATGTTTGAATATGTTTGACATATTTTAATGCAACATCTGCAATACGTTCAGCATCGAAAGAAATTGATCGTAAATTAGATAAATTTTCTAAACTATTTTGAAACTTTCGGTGTAATTGAAACATCTGGTTGAACTATATTTAAACCAGGTAATTGTTTATAATTCAAAAATGATAAAGCATCTAATTTTCTCATTTTATGAACTTCAATTGTATAAGATTGTACTGGAAAAGATAGAAATTCTTCACTATTAACTGTATCAATCATACGAGTAATTTTTAATGATTGAATTTGTTTTAATGGATGTATACTTCGCACGACAACAACAGCAATGAATGTTGATGATGATGCAACAATCAATTCTCTGCAGCTGTTCTCTTAACTCTGTTCAACTTTACTTGTCTTTTTGTTTTGTATGTTGGTTTTAAACGAAAAAAAAAATATACACACATATACATCGAAAATGATCAAACCCTTTTTAAGCGTGAAATTTACTCATCATTAATTATTTAGTTGAATGATGAGAAAGTATGATCATATCCTTGTATACTCTCCAGATGCACATCTATCAAGGGAGATCCAACCGTTTCTTGCCAATCAATATATATCTTACTTTTGTTACTTATGCAATTTACCGGATAAAAATTTTATTTTGTAGTATCTGTTTTTTATTTAGCATGAAAATAAATATTGATTATTAAATTTCGAAACTTCCTATAACTATATCGAATCTCAAAGGAATGACGATACTAATATGTATAAATAACAGATCCTTGCATTTCTGGCATGTCATAAGTAATAAATATATGTATAACAAAAAAAGAAAAGCAAAGAACAATTGAGGTTTTTTTTTTTCTTTTTCTTCTTCTATATGTCGACACGTATGTACAGCTGAAGCATTAAAGCCTTTGTATTAGCCCAAGATAACCTTCATCTTTTTTCGTAAATTGAATAAACGAAAAAATAATACATACTAAGCATGAAATCGAGACATTGTGAAATCATGAGAAGTATTTTCAAGGTTTTATATTCAATCAAAGATCTATTCATTTTCTTATAATAAATTTATATCAAAAAGCAAAAAAAAGAAAAAACGGTAACGATATATTCACAACATAGAACACACATATTTATATACTTTGTTGTTACTACCACTTACTATTAATATTATGTTCATCAATTTTTAATGAACTCGTTAACAAAAAAAAGCGACAATTTAAATGGACACATTGGGCGTGGGTGTGGGTGTGTGGGTGGGTGTGGGTGTGGGTGCGGGTGTGGGTGTGGGTGTGGGTGGATGTGAGTGTGGGCGTAGATATGAGTGGAGTGTGGGTGTTACTGTGGATCTTCTCCTGACCTACACCCACATCCCACACCCTACACCCCACATTCACGCCCATACCCATACCCACACACCTCACATCCACACCCCACACCCTTCTGTATCGCTTAAAACTTTTCGCTGACATCCTGATAGATAACTGAATAAGTGCGGCTTCCGTGCTGTTACCATCATCAGTGTTTGTGAGACCAGGAGTTTTTTTCCGTGATTCTCAAGGAGTCTCATACCCGGTGAAGCTTTTAGCATTTGTCCTTACAGATTTCGCTATCGTCCAAAGCTTTATTTAGTCATTTCGATGAATTTCTCTGTGAACCTGATGTTTTCGCCGCCGCCTTGTCAAACTGATGAAAGGCGCGAAATATTGCATACTGACTTCGAAACACGACATGTGACGGAAAATTTTTCGATCTGATTTTCACTCATAGTCGTTGAGAACAAAGTAGGGGTGGCCCATTAACATTAATCTTAAATTAATGTTAATATTTTTCATTAACATTAATATTAATGTTAATGTTTTTCATTAATCATTAATATTAATGGTTAATGT